TGTTCCATAATTAGACAATGGTGATGGTTACACAACCTTGTGAATATACCAAAAACCAATGAACTCCACACTTAAAAGAGTGAAATTTATGGTATGTGAATTATATCTCAATTAAAAGTATATAATTAGTTAGTCTAAATATCCATCAATAGGGGATATTGAATAAACTACACTACACCATACTATGGAAATACTGTGCACAGGGTCAAAACCATGGGGTAGATTAGATCTTTCTGTACTAATATTAAACGATGTCCAAGACCCACTATTAAATGATAAGTGCAAGTTGCAGCACACAGAACAATATGCACAATATGACCCTATTTCTGTAAATACGCACACAAATAAAGAAATATAGACAGATACACCCAACTGACAAGTGTGGCTCCTGTCGCCTGGAACTGGTGGGAACCAAAGGGAACTTTCGTTTGTTTGTATTGCACACATTTTTAAAACAAGAAGAACATATTCTTGTATTGTTTGAAAATATATTTTAAAAAAGGAAAAATAATGTAGTAAACTAAAAATGGCTTAAATGAGTCTTAGTATCCAGTATTTTCAATGTTTATCTTCTGTTTGTGTTTGAACCATGTGGTGTCACAGCTTCCATTGGCACATTGCTTTATAGTACACAGAGGTTTGACATGTAGAAACACAAAACCGAAAGCTCTCTTAGCAAGGATATTCCAGGCTCTATCTTAGGTTTTGATTTCTTTTTCACTCTAAAAGGGACACTTACTTCCTGCCAAGAGCATTTTAGGTTCATTCTCCTTCCTTTAAAATTCTGTCGTTCATTTTAGTAATTCAGGTAGATTCATACTTTTATAGAGATAAAGATAGTTTGTGACTAGCTGATTATATTTAAAACAAAATACTGTAACACACGAGAAAGGATATTTTGCTCAGAAGTTCTAGGAAGAGACAGTAGGGTGTTTTTGAGACAGTAATATTGATTTCAAGGTTTATTAGGACACTAAAAGTAATCTCCCACTGATATTTATCTTTAAATATAAAAGTGCCTGTTATAAATCTGTAAGGCTCATTCTGTTACAGTACAGTGTTTCCCCAGCCCACAGGCTGTGCTGCCTGAGTTTTATGCGACTTACAGATACAGCAAACTCTCTGAACAGTACAATCAATGGTCAATGATTCCATCATCTTTGTACATGTAAATTTAAACTCAGACAAAATATAGGACCACCCCCCACCAGATGTGCTTCACTCCTCCCTAACATCTTTCCAAAATAATTCACTATTGACCTTGAATGTAGAGTTTTGTTTACCTGCAATATGAATGACACTGATGTGTGGGAGCAACTTTTATTCTTATATGAGACAGACAGAAAAGAGGGATTTAACATTTGCCCTTTCTTACGCAGATGTGAACCACCACCAAATCGAAGCACTTCAGGCTCCAGGCATGCAGATGGCTTAAACAGGTGCTGGGAGATGAGACCCCTCTGCGGGAGTAAGAGAACCCCGGGTACTTAGTGGGGATCCACTGGCATTTCCTTGGAAAAAGTTTGTGAATTTTGAGAAGGGAAGCTGGAGGAAGTGATTTTCATGAAGCCCCTGGTGTCTGTTAATTGCTTGGGTTAAGATTTTCTCACATACTTAAAGATACAGCTAAGAGCACACAGTTTAATCAGTAGTAGTGGTCTTCGATGTTGATGCTTAACAGACCATTGAAACTATTTGGATTAACATAGTGACTATCCACACAGATTCTGGACTTTCTCCATAAACTTATCCAAATGCTCTAACCAGAAACCCCAAATGAATAGCACATGACAAAAAATGAGCTTAAGCTATTTTAATATTGAAGAGCAAGACAACCATGAAACTGGCATTGGACATTGTTAATACAGCACTCTCATCAATGCTACAATATGTAGCTTTTACAGCATAAATTACTGTACAGAATTGGCCTATTTAAAATCTTCTTTAATTCGGGAAACAATACCAAGACCAATTCCTGTAAGAATTGAGAAGATGAAGGCTCTACACTTTGCTAAAACAGGATCAGTGAAGAGTCTTGCAGGAGATAAACAGGTTCCCAAGTTGCTGATAACTTACTCAAGGTGGAAATGCAGAATTTGAAATGGTGAGTTTTTAAAAGATTTTATTTATTTATTTTTAGAGAGGAGAAGGGAGGGAGAAAGACTGGGAGAGAAACATCAATGTGTGGTTGCCTCTCACACCCCCCCACTGGGAACCTGGCCCACAACTCAAGCATGTGTCCTGACCGGGAATTGGACCGATGACCCTTTGATTTGCAGGCCAGCACTCAATCCACTGAGCCACACCAGCCAGGGCTTGAAATGATGTTTGATGTGATACATGAGGATTTTGACACTGAAATACTGACTTAGAGTTGCGGACTCCATGACTAAACATCCAAAATGACGCAGAATAAGAAAATCATGAAATTTTAAATTCCTGCTCTATGTGGGAGTGACTTTAAACTTGATTCCACAGAACTGTAGTATATCTGGGCCTCTTCATGCTAATAAATCTTGTGGTGCTACTCTGGAATTTTTTTTTACCTCAACACCTGGAATTCGCATCGGATAAGGTGTTGTGCTCCTGTGGAAAGGGCGTTAGAATTGATTTGGGCTTACATCGGGCTGGATCTCTCAGGACTTTCAGCTGCTGTTTCTTCAAGCTGGAGAAAGGCAAGGAAATGGATTTCCAGTGAATCTGAAATGCAGGGTTCCTTCTGAATGAGTATTTCATGATTATTTTGGCTAAGCTCAAAGCACTGATTTAGGGACTTAAGGAAGCCCTGTGCCTAAATAATATAAATACTGGATAAAAGCTAAACATATCAATCTACCTTTTGGGACCTGACCTCAGTGGTATGGAACATTTAGATTATTGGCCAAATTTCCAGTCTTTGTCCTGATGTTTGGGGCTAGAATGTTCAGTCGCTAGCTGGGCATCACAAAAATAACTAAGTTATTATGTTGATTTTTTTCTCTCTCTTCATATACTGACTAAAGTGTAGCCTATAATTAAGAGATCATACTGAGAAAACCACATAACACACTAGAGAAAAAAAATCCATCTATTTTCTCAAGAGAGGTTTCCTCTTTCCTGAAGCTCATGACATACCCAAGTCCCTCATGACAGATCTCCTTTCTCAGGGACAAGCTTCCCAGAGCAGCTGTCCTCCACTTGCCAGCCCCAGACAACAAAAATTACTACTAAAGGCAAAAGAAACACGTGAAGAGAACTCAGCCTCTCAGCAGTCACAGAACACACATGAGAGCACAGGAAGTGAGACTGTGCTGGTTGAGGATATTAGAACCATGGTGTTCAATAGGCAAGTTACTTTCCCTTGGCAGATGGCATGCATTGGAAGCTTGGACTCAATGGTCCTTTTCCCCTTTTCCATCAGGATACTCCTAACTTCTGAAGGCCTAGGCTGGACGGGAAAAAGGATAGTGAGACTGTACCACTATCTCTGGGGTACTTGGCAGCTCTGTTGCTCCTGGCAAGGGCAGACCCCACCCCACTCATTGGTTCATTAGATCCCTGCCTACAGGCAGGGTAGACTCAAAGTGGTAACAACAGGGGCTGAGGAGCTCCCTGTTGTCCTCTTGGCCTCCAGAACCCGTCAGGGCAAGATAAAGTACCTTCTCCCACACCACACACCCCTGCACATTGGTGCCTGCAGATACAGTGTGTTTCTGTTCTGATAGATGCTCAACTCTCACTGAGTGTGATAACTGGAATCTAAAGATACTCGGCCAGTGTTGATTCTCACACTCAGTGAGGTAGTCAAGCATTCTGAGTTACACTTCACATGGAGGGAACTGAGGCACGGAAAGGGATTTTATTCAAGGATCAGGTGCAGCAGGCAAAGGAGGAATGTGTTTGAGCACCCTAGTTATTTTCCTGACTTCTCACCCCAACATCAACAGTTCTAATATTGAATCTTTGTTTCCTTAAAGCCCCCACTGCCACTAATCACTGTTCTTTTAAAAAGTCAAGATATTAAACTTAATAGAACTTAGAAGGGGAAAATCCCAATGGAACAAAAAAAAAATCAACCCAGCTCACAGAAAAGGACATTTTGGGTTGAGCTGGTAGCCCTGGGAACTTCAGGGGGTTAATAATCAGTCTGCAGATTACTCCAAGTCCTAGACAGGCCCCAGAGATAGCTGGTGCTGCTACGGAAGTGTCGATCACTAAAGATTAGTGTGTTATCTCTTTAGAATTTTTGCTGTGTCAACGACATGGTTATAACAAAAGAGACTCAAAGAACCTTCTTTAAAAAGTCATAGACATTCAGCTACTGTGGGCAGGCTGTGTTCAGTCAGGTGATGATGCACCTCCTCAGCGTTAAGTATTTTCTCTTTGCTCACTTGGGTTCTAGAAATAAAGAGATGATAAATACTTGGGGGGCGGGGGGGGAATCAGTTTTGTCTTCTGAAAACTGTTCCGGAAAACAAAAACATTGTAATTACTTTAGTAACCAAACAGCACGGTGTGAAAATCCCCAACATTGGTTTTATTTTATTTTACATCAGAACAGGATGAAAACTTTCTCTGAGGACCCTTTCCTAGGTTAGCTTACAAGTCCTGGCTGGATTCAGCTTTCAGGGCTCATCATTGCTTTTTGATGCTTAAAGACAAATGCTGATTATTGTGTTGACTTGCAATTAGTACCTAGAATTCATCCCTCAGATCAATGTGTTTAAAACTGGCTGTAAGCGGATTTTTGAAGAAAGGCACAGGGATTTAATCCCCTGATTCCCATTACTCGGAGAGCCGTGACTTTAGATCCCCTTAGAGCCAACCCCAAATTTACCCCCTGCTGCCTCAGAGTGCCAATTAAATAATAAAAACTGAAACCGTGGTCAGATGTAATTAGTTTGAGAGTTTTATAATTTTCCTCATGCCAAGAAAACAAATGGACCCTTCTGATGACACATACAGAATAATCCAGTTTGGACAAAAAGAACATGTATCTCAAATCTGAACATTTCAAAAAAATTTTTATTTATTGATTTTTTGAGAGAGAGAGAGAGAGAGGAAGGAAGAGAGAGAAACATTGATTTGTTGTTCCATTTATTCATTCATTGGTTATTGATTGATTCTTTTCCATGCCCTGACTGGAGACTGAACCCAAAACCTTGGTGTGATGGGACGATGCTGTGTCATGAGCTGCGCAGCCAGGGCTCCTCATATCTGAGCATTTCTTGTGCTACTTGTCAGCAAGCTGTAACATTGAAAGGCTGTGCTTTCTGGGAGTGTGAAAACAAGGACATAAACTCTGGCTCAAAATTGTTGGGAACGCAGTTCACGTGGGGTTTTTTTTTTTCCTTTCATTAAAAAAAAAAGTCTTTCAAGACTTTAGTTGATCCAGATTTTACAAAAGATGTGTTACTTTTAAAAAATATGATTCTCATAGGAACAGGCTTCGGGTGAGTAACAGGCAAAACAGCCTAAGAGAAACAGTTTTTGAAAGACCGCTGAGCATTTAGCCCAAACCATCTGTGAAAGAGTATCAAGTAGGTGGTCCGAGAGTAAGCACAGCCAAGTCTCTTGTCCTGGCCATCTTTGGAATGAGGTGTTCGCCACGGTGACATGGAGCTAGGGTTCTGCTTCACGCCAAGGCATATACGAATCTAAGGATAAGGGCTGGGGAAGCTGAAGTAATGGGTTTGTTTTTGTGATGGTTTCTGCCTCCTAGTTTAGTTTACTCTGGGCAGGAGGGGCATAAAAAAGGAGGGAGAGAATAAAAATGAGGTTAACAAAAAAAAATACACCCCTACACAGGGGGGCTATACCATGGCAAGACTCTGGTCTAATAATTAGTTTCATCTTTGTTAATTCAAAATTCTTTTCTTCTACTCAACCAGATATTGCGAACATTATTTCGCTGTGTTGGTCTGAGTTGGGAAAACCTGGCGCACATGAGTCAGGGAACTAACTTGCATCGTTACAGAAGGTGAGCAGAACAATGACCCAGGGCCACTGGTTGGACAGGCCTCTCATTGCAGCCTTCGGTGTGAACTCAGGTCCCCTCCTTGGTGTTTTCTGAATCACTAGGCTGTGGTCTCCCGCATGTGTGCACAGTGCACAGATGGCTGGGAAACGGGAAAGACAAGTAGTCAAGTGTACTTATAAAAAAGAAAAACATACCTTTTCCCCCCATGAAAAATACCAGACTTAGTAATGAGAATCTGTGGGAGCTATGTTAAAAAAAAAACTCATGAAACAAGGTTTCTTCTAAAGAGATTATGAACCGGGGACCAGAATACTTATTTGAACATACTTTGATTCTAAAGTTTTTTTTATAAAAATAGTCACAGAAGTTGGTGGATGTTTGGTTTTTTTTCTTTTTACGTACAACTCAATTTCTCTCATTTACAACATAAATCATTTAATGTAACATTTGTAACCTTAGAAAGGCAGACATATTTAATCCAAGTCAGTTTATAAATTCCAATTTCATATGGATTAAAAACTGCAGATAAATTAAGTCACAATAATATCCTGTACATGCATTAAGGCTGGTGACTGCTAAAGTCTCTTGGGCATCTACAGACAGGAAATCGCACACAGATTACTGGGTCTGAAGAGTGTCTACATCATTAAAAAAATCTTGCTTTTTTTTTTTTGGTGATACAGATTTCAACAGTAACTCTGGAAAACTGTGAAAAATGTTATTTAAAAATATATATGTATATACTACTGCACAGTTTCAAAGATGTGATTCATAAATAATGTTGGTTGCACTGAATAATTTTATAACAATTACTGTCCTTCCAAGGTGATGTGAACACGCAGTGACTTATACTCAATATTAGGCACTAGTAATATCCTTCAGGCGTTCTACAGTTTTATGGTAGCTGTATTGTACATATATATTTTTAAATGTATGCATTTATACAAACTGTGTATATTATGCATGGGATGTCAGAAATGTACACATCACTGTTACATAGTACACACATCATTGCTGTATATACTAGGATAAGTTTTAGTGCGGAAAGTCTCATTGCATTGTGTTCGACGTGTCCAATCTAGTACACAACTCGTCAACTCCTCAGACTATTTTTCCAGTACATCCCTCTTTAGATAGTGGGTCCAAGTTTCCACTTGTAATTTGAAAATTTCCAGAAATATCTGTTTTAACCAAACCTCTCTTTCCAGGCACAATTCTGCACATAAGTCTGATCTGTGTAGAGCAGTAACAAATCTCAGATTTTGATTAGGAATGTATTTGAGTTACTCTCTTTGAAGGTAACTCTAACATTGTGATAAAAGCTGGCATCCACTCAGGTCATGGAAGGATGTGGTCGGTTGAACTTGTGTGGAACTTCTGAGGAAATAATATGTCTTCAAAAAGAAAGAAATAATAATAGATATTATACGTTGAAATGGGAGAATCCCCAGAAGGACAGACACGAAACTGGGAGCAGTGCTTGTCGCTGGGGGTCGGGATGACTTTCTAATTTCTGAATTGTCTAAATTTTTACAATGACACTTTTTTTAATCAGAAGAAAGGTATTTCTACTTAGAACAAAACTAAATAAAAGGAAGTTATGAATGACTTTCACAGACAACAAGATGTATCCTTATCATAATCATCTATATCCAGGCAAACAAAAACCGCTGCCCCACAATACTCCACTGATGAAGCAAAAGGCCAGTGTCAAGTTTTATTGGGAAACACGGGTCATCAACGTGCTGATAAAATGCCAGAGGCCACTGGTGTGTTTAGGTGGGGTTTTATGGGTCAGTGCACCACGTGGATACCCCACAAGGCCAGCAAAGCACCCCAGGGACACACCTGAGGGTCGGTCATTCCTTTATGTGAGAGTTTGAGCATTTCATCAGAATTCAGCAAGAGTAAGCGGAACTAAGCCTCAGTCCTCCAAAACAAAACAAAATAAAATAAAACAAAACAACAATTCACAATTTCTTAAGTTAGACTTAAATTTCTAACCTCGAATGGGATTGTGAACTCCACCACCACCACCACCACCACCACCTAGTGAAAGGGATGGGGCAAGCACCTCGGTTGGGTAAATGGAAAGTAGAAGTTTTGTTAATAGTTCCAGAAGCCTCAAGGCTAAAGCCAAATGCAAATTTCATGAGCCCTTCACTCGCTCATTTTAAATTAACTTCAGGTCACTATTTGTACAGTTCAATCATTTCTACAATTTTGAGTCAGTGCTTATAGCTCAGGAATTATGGCAATCTTATCTCCACCTATACGTCAGGCTGACAAAAATGTTAACAATGAAACTGAACCAATCCAACCACCAGTGAGAGCATACATAAGCATCTCTTGTAAATGTTTTGTGCCACCTTTACCTTGAAAAATGGATTTTTCCAGAAATCGCATCACCTGTCTTCCTTAGACCAACCTGGTGCACTTTTGTCAAGTGAGAGGCCTAAGAAACATTACATCCTTTTTTTTCCCGGAGTTTTTCTTTTTAACCAATATTTTTATATCCAAATATACTTAATAAGAACACTAAATCTAAGGCATGACAAGGGACTATAAAAGAAACAAGTTTCAAAACAAAAACTGTAAACAAGATGTCAAAAAACCCTAAAATGTAAACTTAAGTGAAAAAAAAAAAAACAGAGAAAAGAATTGAGGGCATGATGTAAACATGGCAGACACACAGGGTGTGAGCACAGTCCCGGCTGCTGCTCCCCTAACAGCACTGCGATCATCGCAGGAGCAACTTACCCTGCGCAGTAAGCAGCTGGCCAGTCAGAGCCTGAAACACACCCCCAGTTCAAAGCGCCCAAACGTGGCACACTGCGCAGGGAGAGTGAGGGGATCGGACCTTATCAGGACAGCAAGTAGTTCTCATCCTGATAGGCAACAGATAGACTCCTAGTGAAGGGCATCCTAGGAGATGTCCTAATTTGGCCAAGAACATTTGTAACAAAGCTATCACAGAAAGAATAGACTTAAAAAAATATTGGCTGACAAATGCCACGTGGCTCTACAGCCACTGGGTCACAGTGGCAGGAGGAAGAAACACATGTGCTGGGTGGGCTTGTTGTCACATGCGCAAAAGATTTCAATCCCTAACTGAGTTCCAAAACGCAGATGTCACTGCGTCAATGTTGGTTCACTTTCAAAGGCACTGAGTTCTCACCAAATCTCTGTGCCACTTTCATACTATTTGGGGGGCAGGGCAGGGAAGGCCTGTGGGAGTTGATCCATTTGCTTATAACACATTTGGTTGATAATAAAGTTGGATGGAGGGGCAAGTATAAATGAAAGGCAGGTATTTGGTAACATGCAACCTGGTAAACATCCAGCACAAAAATAACTGACTTATTTTCATTAACTGAATTACCCATTAATACATACAAAGAATAAATGGGGACTAGTATATTAATACTGAAAGTAATCAATAATATAATAACTAGGTTCGTAACTGGCAGTCAAGCTTTTGGTGTGCTGCATTGCACCTGGTTAACTAACCTCGAGATTTGGGTTGAATGTTCTAAAATGTCATGGTTTAGATTTGAAGTAGAAAGTTGTGTGTGTGTGTGTGTAAGTGTATTTCCTGTAATCAGAAACCTCTGATCACTTTGTCTAGACTGGGCTTATGAACACTAGACAAAGAAAATGTGTTCTGAAGAGCTGTGTGTCTTACACGCACACAGACTGCTTCCTCTACACCCACACATACAAACACACATGCCCTGGGAAAAGACCACTGTTCAAAGCTGAGAAAATATTCACTGCAGTTTGACAGATGCTGCGGCTGGGAATTTCAGTAGCACAGTGTCCAGAAACAGTGAGCTGTCCGTGGAGAGGAGAGCACAATTCAGCTCAAGGGCGAGGCCCCTATGACAGGTGGGCGCTGTTCCGCAGCCAGTGCAGGCCCTGCTGGGAGTACTGGACCAGGTGTTCCATGCTGCTGTGTAGGGTGACAGGCCCCATGAGCAGATCCAGGTCGTTGAAGAATTCTAGGGGACAGAGAGAGTCGTCAGAGTGTCACACATGCGACGTGCACCCTGGGAGACCTAAGTGACTTCAAAAACTCCATTCGTGGTCTCTTTAAAAACCAAGCATTCTTTCATCATGCCACTTTAGAACAAAACCCAAAGGTAGAGAACTCATCCTTCAATCCAAATAGACACTCTATTGGCCATTTTTAATTCAAATGAATAACATTTACTTAGCCAAACCGAAAAGAACACTGACTTTCTTGAACTGAATTCCCCTGAACGTGGAGTGTGGCTCTGTCATCCCCGACCCTAGACTCAGCTGTGGCAAGTGCTGAGCCACTGCAGAGTCTCAAGGAAGTAGCTCCAGGCTCCTGGTGGCAAATCAGAGACAGTTCTGACATATCTCTGCTGAGGTCACCTTCTAGTCCTTGACATTCTCTGGGTGTCTTCTTTTGTTAAACATTTATTATGTCTCGAGGCGCTATGCCAGGTGTAGTAGGGTAGAGGTAGGGATATACTATGTATAATAGACGCTGTTCTCTCAGAGATCACAGCTAGTGGCAAAGAGAAACAAATAAATTCGTGTGGATGCTATGCTGTCATAGCTGGCTCACTGATCAACACCCCTTCAGAAGAAATGCCTGGGAGAAGTTTTTCAAAGGTGCTTGTATACACACGTGCTGAATGAGGTCCTTCTGGGAAGGCAAGGGAGAGGGAGGAGAAGGCTGCAGTTCCCGGTGGCTGGGAAGGGAGCCCTGGCAGCAGTGCGGGGCAGAACCACTAGGAGGGTCAGACCCACAGTGCTGACTCTGCATTAGACGCATGGCCATGGCTCTGAGCCCTGTGGGAGCAGACAGCCAGCAGGAGCTGGCAGCACCCCCTGGAGCTGAGCCTGCGCAGGGTCTCCCAAACTGGCCATGCAGATTTTTATACACTTGTCCCTTCTGTTTGTCTACTTGTGACACCCACTTCGCTTCATCTCAGCTACTCAACTACTGTTCGCTTTTCATAATCTTGTTCCATGCCGGTTGCCCATTGGATCCTCAGGGTCAGTGCCTCTGGGCTGCATGCCACGCACTGCCTGGTTTTATTGTCAGTTTCATGTACTCGGAACCCACCTGCCTATCCACACACTGTGACCTCATCTTACCATCTGATCTTGTCCTCAGAGGCTTTATGCTCTCATGGGAACAAAATCTGTATTTAACGATTTGAAAGTGACCTCAGATTTGAACTTCCACCTGAGTAGTAAATTGGTATAATCATTGGAAAGAAGAGTTAATAACATATACCAAGATATATGACAATATATACCTTAACAGAATCTATACCCATTGACCCCAAAATTCTACAACTCACACCTATGAAAATAGCAATAAATATGGAAAACAATTTGTATAAAATATTTATCATAACCTTATTTGTCATAGTGGGAAAATATTGGAAGTAACCTAAGTGTCCGACAACAGGGGAATGGTCAGAGAAATCATACTTTATGACTGTACAACCACTATTGGGACAGTATTGTACAACCAACATAAAGGGTGTTTCTGAACTAGTTCGTAACATGGGAAAGTGACAGATGTAATATCACATGAAAAAAGACAGGGTGTATCACTGTATATAGACTATCATCTTGTTTTGGTAAAACTCATGCATATTTGGAGGAGACTGGAAGAAACTTCATAGAATGTTAATAGTAATTATTTCTTGGTGATAAGATTACTGATCATATAAAAAGCTTTTTATCTACAACAGTTTCTTGTACTTTATATATTTGGCCATAATAAACATGAATTCCTTTTATAATCAGTGAAAAAACACTAAAAAAGAAATAGAACTTATTGCTACATGTAAGCAGCTATCATTTAAACAGCTAGTAACATTCACACTCATTCATTAATTCACGTTTCAGATTCCCAACCATGTCCTAGGCACTGTGCAGGTCCTAGGGATGGAAAGTAAAATAGAATATAACCCCTACCCTCAAGGAGCTCACTGACTACAGGGAAAAATACAAATGTGTATATACCTGTATCTTTATGTCTATATATCTGTATCTGTATATATTTATATTATTTGTATCTATGTATTAGGTAGAGCTGCTTTGACTCCTGTGTCTTGGTCATGTGGCCTAATACAGTAGGTGTCCTGTAGGGTCCAGTGGCACAGCCTCCCCCATCATCCAAGCTGGGTACTCAAGGGATACCCTTTCTGTGGGCTGAGTATACCCTCCTTGTGTAGTTGAGCCTAGGCTGTTGTTGGCGGTCAATGAGAAGGATTTACTCAGGCTGGTCAGCTGCAAGAACTGGCTGTGACCACTGACCACCAACCTCTATCCTCCGTGGAGGATCAGTTGTGCAGGGGCAGGGTGGTGGCACTTTGACAAGGTCTGTTGCTGCTCACTGGGTGAGCAGGCCCTGGGGCTTCCCAGGTGGTACAGGGCAAGTTTGGCCCCCCACCTGTGTTTCGCCTGGGGCCACCCTGCCTGAGCTATCAAGCAATCGGAGATGGCTGCTGCCATGTGCTGGGTTTGGAGATTCCAGGTGAAGCCAAACTGTGAATCTAGGCTGGCTGATGCTAGTGCCATGCCTGGGGCTCCCTGAGGCAAGCTATTGCTTGTTTGATAGGATTTAGGAAGGTGTGAAGCATGAACCAAGACCAGCCATTCATATGGAAAAGCAGCTTGGGTGGGCCCATAAGTTGGGTGGGGCAGAGTCTCTGGGGATCTCTAAGGTGGGTCAAACAGTGTTAGGTTCATGGAGTCTCAGATGTGGCACCAGCTTCCTCACTCTGTGGCTTTGTAGGGGGAAGGTTTAGAAAAGAGACAATAACCTCTGCTCGCACTGATGCCAGACACTTTGGCTTCTCCCTGTACGCCAGTGGTGTTTTTTTAAGCTGCTACCCTGGTGCTGGAGCTCAGAGGGTGTGAGTCTGAGTAGGTGAGACCACATGTGGGTTCTTTAAGAGGAACTACTTAGGGCTCCAGAAGTTTCTTCCACTGATTTAATCCCCACTGGTTTTTGCAAGTGGAAAGTTGTGGTGACTTATCTTCCTGGCACTGGAATCCTGGGCTGGGGGGCAGGGCCTGGTGTGGGAGTGGGACCCCTCACTCCTGAGATATCCCTTCCAAATTTGTATCCACCACATGTGGTGTGGGCCCAGCCTGTTCTGTGTCTGTGTCCCTCCGACCAGTCTGGATGGATGTGGTTTCTTTAATTCCATAGTTCTTGGACTTCCATCCAATTTGATTTCTGACAGTTCTGATGGTGGTTCTATATTTTAGCTGGGATTTTGATTGGTTGTGTGAGGGGGCAAGCCATGTCTGCCTATGCCGCTATCATGACTGGAAGTCATTTGTATCTGTATCATCTGTATTTGTACCTCTATCTCTAATCTTCCACAGTGGAGATCAAGGTAAATTAAGGTATACATAGGAGGCCCTGAGTGAGGGGGAGGAGTCATGAAAGTTTCACAGTAGGTGACAGTAGGTTATGTCAACCCATAGTAGGCTGACATAGTAGGTCGTCAACAGGAAAGTTTCACAGTAGGTGACAGCCTGATTTCTTCTTCGGTAAATGATGGCAACTGGTCCAATGTTGCCCAAGGGTCAGGTTGTCTCCCCGAGCTTTGGTCGAACCACACACATACTCCCCCGAGGGACACATACCTCTGTTCTCCTTGGCCAGGTTGTCTGCCATCTCCCAGTAGTCATAGCTGTGGAGAATGCTGTTGGTGATGCTGACGTGATTGGCTGCCATCTGGTGGATGCGCTGTGGGATGCTGACGATGGTCGAAGGGGACAGGGTGTTGGTACTGGAGAGGCTCCCCTGAGATCCCACGGAGCTGGTGGGGGAGGGGTTGGGAGACATGGGGGATGGGGTTCCAGTGCTCCTGGAAGGTGAGAGCATAGAAAGATAAGGGTGGAGAGGCTGGTACCAGGTGAAGTGGGGCAGCCCATCAGGACACTACCGTAAGCAAAGTAACACACTGCCCAGCAGCAGGCAAGGGCCCATTTATTGCCTTTACTCTGGAAAAATGAACTTACTTTCCACTGGCCCCCCATGGAGATGGGGCTTGGGCAGCTTTAGATGAATTCTGCAGGAAAACAAAAATATTGACAGTGAGCCATCTGCTTAGGATTACAGAGCTGACAATTACATTTTCTCAGGTGATGGTTGAGAGAAGTAATGGCTGACACTGCGGATAAAATGCAGATTCCTAGGAAATGGACCTGGGAAGTCACAGGACCTAGGCTACTGGCTCTGTCTCTGAAACCCAGTGGGGGCAGCTGTGTGGTCTGCCAGGCTCCACGACAGCCTATCGTGGGCTTCCAAGCACCAAATTCTATGTCTGAAATTAAACCATAATCCTGAGGGTCCACTGAATCCTGAACCAGTTTAATTTTTCCATCTTAAACTAGCTCAATTTTTCTGAAAGGGAAAAAAGAGCAGCCCTGCCAGCCGTGCCCCGCCTCCCCCTCCCCAGCAAGAACACCTCACATGGAAATGTAGGGCATATTTCCAGAAACTGTTGCCATACATTTAATCCCAGACATCACACTGTGTTATTTAAATTTATGAGGCTGAAAAGTATTTCTCTTAAAGAAAGTTACTAAAAGAACAGATTAAAATGTTTCTCGACTGGGTACTCACATTCTGATTTACCTAACTATTCTAATTCAGGATGTTACATTTCACAAGCCAGTTGTCAACATCAGGCATTTACAAAAACTTCTGTCTTTGGCAAGGCAAAGTTCCTAAGTGTACAGATGAATTTCCTCTCCGAGAGCCCAATAACGCTTTCTTGGACCTGAGACTATGTATGGGACTGTTAAGGAAAAAAGTCTTTATAACGCTGATGTGAATTTTCCCTTCCAGAGATAAGACAATAGCCTCAACTTGGTCCTGCAGAGACAAAACATTTCTTTTGGTTAAAAAGAACTTTACAAAGTGATGACTGACTTTAGTGGGGGTGTCATCAAGAAATGGCCTCACATGTGGCAATTTTGAAGTTGCCTTTAGGTTCCCTCCACTACCACTAAGCAAGCCCCGTGACTGAAAAATCCTGGGTGGGAACAAAGTTCTTTGTTCACGGACAGCTCTGTAGCAATAAAGCACATTCTTTACGGACAATTTATCATTGTTACCTGAAGGTTCCATAACCATGGAACTTTAAGGAGCATTTAAATAGCCTTTAATTAAGGGTGACTACCAATAATTTCTGAAGGGGAAACTCTGATTTTTAAGTTGTGTTCTCTATGCATTTTGTACATATTCATGGACTGTACACATACATTAAGAACTTGTTTTCCTTAAAGTTCTGTCACAACCCCTGTGGCCTACAGAGTTTAGATTCCTTCTCTGTTGAAGCATTTTTCTTGACTGTGAAAACTCTCTTTAGTATTAGTTCTCAGATTCTAAACTTTAAAAAACGACCTTAGGTGCCCAAAGTGAAGAGAAAGGCTTAATGTCAGCCAGGGCTGTCACCTGGCTATTCCTGCGTGACCAGGAAGGAGGCGGCGTGCTGGATGTAGCCCCCGACAGAGCCTGGTCATCAGACATCATCTCTAAGAAGTGGCATGGGGTTTGAAGTGTCTAAAATGATGGTTTTGTATCTCACAAAGGGTGGGTGGAGGTAGAGATGGTGTAATTTTGTGTTTCTAGAGACAGATGGGCAGTAAAGAGGCCCCAAATCTCAATTAGTTATTACTTCAGGTCTATTTCACAAAAGTACATGAAAGTTTCTTTTTTAAATATATTTTATTGATTATGCTATTATAGTTGTCCCATTATTTCTCCCCTTTATTCCCCTCTACCCTGCACCACCTCTCCCATCAGCACTCTCCACCACCTTAGTTCATGTCCATGGGTCATACATATAAGTTCTTTGGCTTCTCCATTTCCCATACTATTCTTAACCTCAATTTTGTACCTACCATTTATGCTTATTCCCTGTACCTTTCCCCCTGCTCTCTCCTTCCATTCCCCCACTTTCTCCCTGTTGATAACACCCCATGTGATCTCCATGTCTGTGAATCTGTTCCTGTTCTAGTTGTTTGCTTAGTTTATTATTACTTTTTTGTTTTAGGTTTGGTTGTTGATAGTTGTGGGTTTGTTATTTTACTGTTCCTATTTTGATCTTCTTCATTTTCCTTAGAGAAGTTCCTTTAACATTTCATATAATAAGGGCTTGATGACAATGAATGCTTTCAACTTGACCTTATCTGTAAAGCACTTTTCCCGCCCTTCCATTCTAAATGATAGCTTTGCAGGATAGAGTCTTCCTGGATGCAGGTCCTTGCCTTTCATGACCTTGAATACTTCTTTCCAGCTCCTTCTTGCCTGGAAGGTTTCTTTTGAGAAATCAGCTTATGGGAATGCCTTTGTAGGTAACTGTCTCCTTTTCTCTTGCTGTTTTTAAGATTCTCTCCTGATCTTTCATCTCGGCTAAGGTAATTATGATGTGTCTTCGTGTGTGCTTCCTTGGATCCAACTTCTTTGGGACTCCCTGAGCTTCCTGGACTTCCTGGAAGTCTATTTCCTTTGCCAGATTGGGGAAGTTCTCCTTCATTATGTTTTCAATTTCTTGCTCTTCCTCTTCTCCTTCTGGAACCCCCATGATTCAGATGTTGGAACATTTAAAGATGTCCTGGAGGTTCCTAAGCCTCCCCTCATTTTTTTGAATTCTTGTTTCTTCATTCTGTTCTGGTTGAATGTTTCTTTCTTTCTCCTGGTCCACACTGTTGATTTGAATCCTGGTTTTCTTCATGTCAGTGTTGGTTCCTTGTATATTTTCCTTTATTTCACTTTTCATAGCCTTTACTTTTCCTCTATTTTGTGACCATACTCAACCAATTCTGTGAGCATCCTAATTATCAGTGTTTTGAACTCTGCATCTCTATAGTTTGGGTTCCTCTTTCTCACTTTGTTGTATTTTTTCTGGAGCTTTGATCTCTTCTTTCATTTGGACCATATATATATATTTTTTGCCTCGGCACACCTGTTAGGCAGTAAGGGGTGGGGCTTTAGGTATTGGCCAGGATGGGGCAACCCATGTCACTGGGTTGTGGAGTTGTATGTGGTGGAGGGGTCCAAAAGGGAACAATGGGGCTTCCTCTGCTGCCCACAATAAAACTGGGCCTTTCTGGCGGTGATTCCTGGTGGGGGGGGGATGGGTTTGTGTACATTCTAGGACCCTGTTGGTCTCTTCAACAAACTCTCCTGTGAGGCTGGGAGCTTCTGCTCCTGCCTCAACCAACCCTTATGGGTTTCAGTCAGAGGTTTTGAGGCTTTATTTCCCTGCGCTGGAACCCTGGGTTGTGTGGTCTGTCTAGTTCCCCAGTTGTTCCTCCAGGTTTATCTACATGTAAATGTGGGACTGCCTGCTCTGCCAGCCACCACCTTGCCTGTCTCCGTCCTCCAGCTGCTGCCTTGCTGTGAGTCCTTTCCACCCTGGCTGCCCACTGCTACTCCTCCTACCGGTCTGAATGAATGTTTTTTCTTTAGCAACTTGGTAATTGGACTTCCATACAGTTCAATTTTCTGGCAGTTCTGGTTATATATTTTTGTTTTTAAATTTGTTGCTGTCCTTCTTTTGGTTGTGCGTGCCAAAAGGCAAAATGTATCTATCTATGCCTCCATCTTGGCCAGAAGTCAAGAGAAAGTTTTTTAGTTTTATTTTTCCAGTGAAAATGATTTTATTCCCTGAGACAGGTAAAAGTTCGAATTCTATAATTCTATCTTTATATTCATATATTGCTATTTGTTCCAGTGCTTCTGAACTTTAAAAAGCCATTTTTTAAGATTTATTTTCAGAGAGCGGGGGTCAGAGGGATAAAGAGACAGAGAGAAACATCAGTTGGTTGCCTCCCGTACACCCCCAATGGAGGACCTGGCCCACAACTGAGGCATGTGCCCTACTGGAATCAAAGCAGCAACCCTTCGGTTAGCAGGCCAGAGCTTAATCCACTCAGCCACACCAGCCAGTTAAAAGAACATTTCTATCAATGATGAATTTAGCTGTTGGAATTAGCTAAGAAGTTCTAAGTAGTTACTTCCAAGAAGAAGAAGCTCTACATAAACATGAAGATGAATTTACTATGACATAAAATTGGTCACTAAATCTTCTTTCTCTTGAGATCATCAAAATACTTGGACTCAAGGCAGAGAGATACATTAGATGGGCTCTCAAGGCCATTCTCCGAGCCCTGAACACCATGAGTATATCCTAATGGGGTTAGTGTAAGTATCAGAAGGTCCTGTATTATCTTTGAAGCAATGGATTCTATTCTCAAAAACGTCCTTGATGGGGAGACAACTGAATACAAGAAACAGTGCTGCCCATCAGCCAAACAGTACCTTAAAATAGTCGATAAGTGCTTTTGAATACTTTACAGCATGATCCCTTTTGAGTCGAAACATCCGCCAGTACAGGAGAGCCAGGCATCGGTAACTGCAGCAGAAGAAGAGAAATGAGCCCTGAAAGCATGAGTGTGTCCTTTGCAAACAAGACTTTTAAAAAATCTTGTTGTTTCAAGCACTCAATATTTATATCATGGTTACATATATAATGTACATACACATATGGTTGTCAGTATCTGATCTTCCTTTTTTTCAGAAGATATACTTCAAAACTGCAAGGAGTTATACTCCATAAGTAAATGTAACTTATTTAGTATTAGCTTTATTGCTTTGTTGGGGTGTTGGGCTGGCCATTTTCTTGGTCCACCACTAGAGGGCAGTGTCTCCCCACAAGAGGAGTAAGGAAGCTCTAAGTCACTGCTTTCACTTACTTGGGGGTGTATCAGGGCAGAGCCACCTCTACTTCCCTTTGACACCCTGGCCTTGGGGCACTATTGGCTTTGCTGAAAGAATAGCCTTTACCTTTAAACTACTTTGCTTGATTATAATTAGTTCAAATAAAGGAACAGATATATGTTTTATGAACAAAAATTATGTTGTGAAGTTATAACTACATGCTATTTTATATATTTATTTACATAGTAGTAATATTACACAATATTAATTATTATCATTATTTGTTAATCCTGAAATGGATCTTAAAGTTTGAAAAGAGTACAGAGAACATTTCCTGAGACATATCCTCTTTTTCTTGATCCTTTTCAGTCACAATTATCTGCTAACTCAGGTGTGGTACTGACATATTAGATTCCCAACACATCAAATAAAATGTAATGGTCTCTTCTTAGCACATCAAACTCCAGATGATGTGATGGTGCAGAACTACCTGAGGCCTTCTCTTTTTTATATGTTGCCATTATTTTATTTATTTTTTGAGACTTGATTGCCTACCGTGCAGATCAGGGGAATAAAAAAAACTTTGGAGAGCAAAATATTCTGGATCCTTACCACAGAAGGAACAAATAAAGAGGTGTCTTGTGATTTGGGATAGTGGGGTGAGGTGTTCTGAGGAGATGTAATAGGGAAATTACTATTATAACTACATATTCATTATCATTGTAATCCTTATAGATATAAAAATCTATTACATGTTGGTTAACATTTTACAAGAAAAGCTTTTATTATGACAGTGTAATGAGCTGCTCCTCAGTTTAGTGTATTGATAATGTGAATGCATCATCTTCATTCAGTCATACTAATCTCACATGTAAAGAGACAGATGAATTATTTTGATTGCAACTAAAATGTTAAACACAAGAAAAACTATATTTGGCAAAATTCACATTCAAATCATTAAAACACAGACCTATCTGATTTTCACACACACACACACACACATATACACAAATGGATCCTTGCATAACGGACGAGCCAATTTTCCAACACTTAATGCTCACCAAGGCTGGTATAGCAGCAAGTAATAGGGTGGGCTCTCACTGGCAGACATTAAACGCTCATTTGGTTTTGCATGTTAGAAGGCACTAGAAAAACATGCATTTTAGCACCTGGTTTACCCATGACCATGGATGTACAGGCGGCCGGGCAGGCTATTTTAAGCAGATATCATGAAACTCACCATAATGCAGCCAGCTGTTTATCTTCTGGTGTTGCATTGGGTCCTGAGTGGGTTTTCAGTCTCATAGCATACCTAGAGGAAAGAAAAGAAAGCAAAACCAAAAAATTTTTTTCAAAATTGATTAAATTCATTAGGATGACATTGGTTAATGTCACTCATTAGGATGACATTCCTTAAATTCATTAGGATGATATTGGCTAATAAAATTATATAGGTTTCAAGTAAACAATTTTATACTACATCATCTGTATATTTTATTGTGTGTTTACCACCCAAAATCAAGTTTTCTTCTGTCACCATTTATCCCACTTTCACCCTCTTCTAACTGCCCTACCTGCTTTCACTCTGATAATCACCATATTGTTGTCTGTGTTTATGAGGGTTTTTTTTTTTTTTTGGCTTAATTCTTTTTCTACCCAGCCACTTAAGGCTCCTCCCCACTGACAGCTGTCACTCTATTTTCTGTACCTATGAGTCTGTTTCTATTTTATTTTTTCATTAGATTCCATATATAAGTAAAATAATATCACATCTGAATTCTTTGACTGGCTTATTTCACTTAGCATAATATTTTCCAGGTCCATTTAAACTATTGCAAAAGGTGAAATTTCCTTCTTTTCTATGGCTGAGTAGTATTACACTGTGTAAATGTACCACAGCTTTCTCATCTACTCATCTAGTAATAGGCATGTGGGCTGCTTCCAAATCTTGGCTGTTGTAAATAATGCTGCAATGAACATAGACGTGCATATAGTCTTTTGAATAGTGTTTTGGGTTCCTTCAGGTATATTTCCAGTGGGATTGCTGGGTCATAAGGCAGTTTCATTTCTAATTTTTTGAGGATACTCTATATTGCTTTCCACAGTGGTTGCACCACTTTGCATTCCCACCAGCGGTGCACAAGGGTTCCATTTTCTCCATATCCACACCGACACCTGTTGTTTGTGGATTTATGATAGCCATTCTTGCCTGTGTGAGGTGATAATTTCATTTTAACTTGCATCTCTCTGATGGTTAGTACTCTCTGATGGTGAGCATTTTTTCATGTGTCTATTGGCTATCTGTATGTCCTCTCTGGGGAAGTGTCTATTCAGGTCCTTTGCGCATTTTTTAATTGGATTGTTTGTTTTCCTGGTGTTGAGTTATATACTTTATATATTTTGGAAATTAACCCCTTATCAGATGTATTATTGGCAAATATGTTCTTCCATTCAGTGGGTTGTGTTTTCATTTTGTTGATAGTTTTCTCTGTTGTGCAAAACCTTTTTAGTTTGATGTTTATCCATTTGTATATTTTCTCTTTTGTTTCCTTTGCCCAAGGAGATACATCAGAAAAAATACTGTTACAAGAAATGCCCGAGCTTTTACTACCTATGTTTTCTTCTAGAATTTTTATGGTTTCGAGTCTTCATTTAGGTCTTTAATCCACTTTGAGTTTATTCCTGTGCCTGGTGTAAGAAGGTAGTCTAGTTTCATTTATTTTGCACATATCTGTCCAATTTTCCCTACACCATTTATTGAATAGTCTGTCTTTACATCATTGTATATTCTTGCATCAATTGTCAAATATTAATTGACCATAAAGATGTGGGTTTATTTCTGGGCTCTCCATTCTGTTCTATTTGTCTATGTGTCTGTTTTTATGCTAGTACCATGCTGTTTTGACTACTAAGGCTTTGTAGTATAGTTCAATAGTAGGTAGTGTGATTCCTCCAACTTTGTACTACTTTCTCAAGATTGCTGTTGCTATGCATGGTCTTTTGAGACCATGAATATACATTTTTTGGGACTATTTATTCTAGTTCTGTTAAAAACACCATTGTTATCTTGATAGAAATTGCACTGAATCTATAGATTACTTTGAGTAGTATGGACATTTTAATCATGTTAATTCTTCTGATCCATGAACATAGTATATGCTTCCATTTACTTGTATCTTATTCAATTTCTTTTTTTTTCAGTGTCTTACACTATTTTGAGTGCAGGTCTTTTACATCCTTGGTTAAGTTTATTCCTGGGTATTTTATTTTTTGATGCAATTTTAAGTGAGATTGTTTTCTTTTCTTATAATTCCTTATTGGTGTATAAAACACAACCAATTTCTACATAGTTATTTTGTATCCTGCTACTTTACTGAATTCATTTATCACTTCTAGTAGTTTTTTTTGTGGGATCTTTAGGGTTTTCTATATACAGTATCATGTCATCTGCAAATAATAACAGTTTACTTCTTCCTTTCTGATTTGGATACCTTGTATTTCTTTTTCTTGTGTGGCTAGGACTTCTGGTACTATGTTAAATAACAGTGAAAGACATCCCTATCTTGTTTCTGATCTTAAGGGAAATGCTTTTAATTTTTGTCTATTGGGTATGATGTTGGACGTGGGTTTATCATATACAGCCTTCAGTATGTTGAAGTATGTTCCCACTTTGCTGAGAGTTTTTAATCACACATAGGTGCTGGATTTTATCAAATGCTTATTCTACCATTATTCATATGCTAATGTAGTTTTATCCTTTGTTTTGTTTATGTGGTATATCACATTTATTAATTTGCAGGTATTGTGCCAACCCTGCATTCCCAGAATAAATCCCACCTGATCATGGCATATGATCTTTTTAATGTATAGCTGGATCCTGTTTGTGCATATTTTGTTGAGAATTTTAGTTCATCAGAGATATTGGCCTATAGTTTTCTTTCTTTGTAGAGTCTTCATCTCGTTTTGGAATTAGGATAATGCTGGCCTCATAAAATGAGCTTAGCAGTCTTCCTTCCTCTTGATTTTTTTGAATAGTTTGGTATTAATCCTTCTTTGAATTAGTTCACCTGTGAAGCCATCTGGTCCAGGAATTTTGTTCGTTGGGAGTTTTTTTTGTTTTATAGCTTCAATTTCCTTAGTTGTAATAGTCTGTTCAGATTTTCTGATTCTTCCTGATGCAGTTTTGCATGACTGTATGTTTCTAGGAATTTATCCATTTCATCCAAGTTGTCCAATTTGTTGGCATATAGTTGTTTGTAATATGTCCTTACTTTAAATTTCTGCAGTGTCAATTATTACTTCTCCTCTTTCATTTCTGATTTGATTTATTTAGGTCCTCTCTTTTTCTTGATGAATCTAGTTAGAGGTTGGTCAATCTTTTTTATCTTTCCACAGAAGCAGCTCTTGTTTTACACATGTTCTGTTTTACACATTGTTTTTTAGACTGTATGTCACTTATTTATGCTCTGATTTTTATCATTTCCTTTCTCCTACTCACTTTGGGCTTTGTTTGTTGTTCTTTTTCTAGTGTAAAAGTTATCTTGTTTGAGAGTTTCCTTGTTCCTTAAGGTAGGCTTGTAATGCTACCAATTTCTCTCTTAGGCTTGCTTTCACTGTGACCCATAGGTTTTGAGTTATTGTGTTCTCATTTTCATTTGTTCTAAGGTAGCTTTGGATTTTTTCCTTGATCTCCTTGTTAACTTATTCATTGTTTAGTAACATGATATTTAGCCTCCATATCTTTGTTTGTTTTTCATTTTTTTCTTGTGATTGATGTCTAGTTTCATGCCATTATGGTCAGAGAGAATGCCTGCTATGATTTCAATCTCCTTAAATTTATTGACTTATTTTGTGTCTTAACATGTGCTCTATCCTAGAGAATGTTCCATGTGCACTTGAACAGAATGTATGTTCTGCTGCTTTGTAATGAAATGCTCTGAGGATATCAATTAAATCCATCTGGTCTACTGTGTCATGTAAGGTCACTGCTTCCTTGTTGATTTTGTCTTTAAGATCTATCTCTCCATAGAACCCTGGCTGGTGTGGCTCAGTGGATTGGCTGCTAGCGTGCAAACTGAAAGGTCACTAGCTCAGTTTCCAGGCAGGCACATGCCTGGGTTGCAGGCCCAGTCCCTGGGTGTGGGTGTATGAGAGGCGACCAATGACAAATTTCTCACACACTGATGTTTCTTTCCTTCTCTCCCTCCCTTTCCTTCTCTAAAAGTAAATAAATAAAATCTTTTAAAAAGATCTCTCCACAGATGCCAATCGGGTGTTAAAATCCTCTACTATGACTGTGTTACTGTCACTCTCTCCCTTTATGTCCATCGATATTTGCTTTATATACTTAGGTGCTCCTATGTTGGGTACATAAATGTTTAGAAGTGTTATAGCTTCTTGTTGGACTGATTGCTTTATCACTATGTAGTGTCCTTCTTTGTGTCCTATTATAGACTTTGGGATTTTTTTTAGATTTTTTAAAATTTATTTTTAGAGAGGGGATGAGAGGGAGAATATAACCTTTGTTTTTTGTTCCTTATAAAAAATATTTTATTTATTGTTAGAGGGGAAGGGAAGGACAGAGGGAGAGAAATATCAATGTATGGTTGCCTGTTGTGCGCCCCCTGCTGGGAACTGGCCTGCAACCCAGGCATGTGCCCTGACTGGGAATTGAACCATGTTCCTTTGGTTTGCAGGCCTGTGCTCAATCCACTGAGCTATACCAGCCAGGGCTAGCCTTTGTTTTACAGTCTCTTTTGTCATGTATAAGTATTGCTACCCTATCTTTTTTTTTCATTTCCATTTGCATGAAGTATCTTTTTGTATCCCTTTACTTTTAATCTGTGTGTATATTTCTACCTGAGATGTGTCTCTTGTAGGCAGCGTATATCAATTTTGTTTTCTTATCCATTCAGCTACTTATCCATGTCTTTTGATTAGAGCATTTAAGCCATTTACATTGAAAATAATTATTGATAGTTATGTATTTATTGACATTTTATTCTCTATAACTATGTTGCTCCTCTTTTTTTCTTCTTCTTCTTCTTCCTTCTTAGTTTTTTTTTATTCCTTTCTCCTCCTTCCTCCTACCCGCTCTCCTCTTCCTATTCTTTTTTTAGGAGACCCTTTAATATTTCTTGTAATACTGGTTTGGTTGTCTGTGATGTTCTTTATTTCTCCTTCAATTTTAAATGACAACCTTGCTGGGTAATGTAGTTAAATGCAGTCTCATTTGTAGGTCTTTGCTTTTTTTTTTTTTTATCATTTTGAATATCCACGCAATCCCTTCTGGCCTGTAATATTTCTGTCAATAAATCTTCTGAAAGTCTTATGGCAGCTCCCTTGTAAGTAACTAACTGTCTTTCTCTTGTTGCTTTTAAGAATCTCTCTTCATCTTTCATCTTTGACATTTTAATTATGATGTGTCTCAGTGTGGGCCTCTTAGGGTTCATTTTATTTGAAACCTTCTCTTCTTCATGGACTTGCATGTCTTTTCTTCACTAGGTTAGGGAATTTTTTTCAGTCATTTCTTCAAGGAGGTTTTTGATCCCTTGCTCTCTCTTCTCCTTCTGGTACTCCTGTAATGAGGATATTGTTATGTTTCCTGTTGTTCCAAAGTTCTCTTAAACTTTCCTCCTTTTTAGAATTTTTTTCTGCCCTTATTGGGTGTTTTCTGGTACCTTGTCTTGCAAATCACTGATCTAAGCACCTGCTTCATCAAACATACTGTTTATTCCTTCTAGTGTCTGCTTCTTTTCAGATATTGTATTCTTCATCTCTGATTGTTTTTTTTTATATGGATCTATGTCCTTTTTAATGCTGTTGTAGTTCTCACTAAGTGCTTTGAGCATCCTTATAACCGTTTCTTTTTCAGTTCTTATCTGGTAAATTGCTTGCTTCTATTTCATTTAGCTCTTTTTCTAGAGATTTCTCCTGTTATTTCATTTGGGGCATGCTTCTTTGTCTTCCTATTTTGGCTGCCTCTTTCTGTTTGTTTCCATATATTTGGGTAGATCTGCTATGTCTTCCAGTTTTGGCAGGGTGACCATATGTAGTAGGTGTCCTGTGGGACCCACTGGCACAGTCCTCTTGATCACCTAAGCTGGGTGCTCCAGGAATGTCACTTGTGTGGGTTATTGTCTTAAGTGTCAGGTGGTAGCATAATTTTTGTTTCAATCATCAAATAATATTTATAAAACTCGAGGGAAGTTTATTGCCCATATCCACATTTCTCTTCTTCTGATGTTCTTTCTTCTTTCTTCATGCTCCAAGATTCCTTTTTATGGTCATTTCCTTCCTGTCTGAGGAACTTCCATTAGCTAATCTAAGGATGGGTTTTCCTTAGTCTGAGAATATATTTCCTCTTCAGTCCTGAAAAATAAAGTTTCTAGAATTCACTGTTTGATATATTTTATTTTCTTTCAGCACTTGAAAAATATTGTGCCATTCTATTCTGGTTTCCACAGTCTAAGATGCAAAGTCTGCTGTCATTTGAATTGGTGTTCCCTTATAGGTGACATGTCATTTCTCTCTGGTTGCTATCAGGATTTGTTTTTCTTTGTTTTTAGTTTTCAGAATGTAGTTATGATATGTCTTCACATGCATTTTTTATAGATTTTGTCCTATTTTGGTTCTTCTCAGCTTCTTGACCTATAGTTTACATCTTTTGACAAATCTGGCAAGTTTCTGCCACTACTTCTTCAAATACTCTTCAGTCCTACTGTCTTCCTCTATTTCTGAGACTCCAGTGATATATGTTGCATGTTTTGTTATTAGGCTTGAGACTCTTATCTATTTTTTTCTTTCTATTTTATCTGTTACTCAGATTGGGTTAATTCTATTTCTTGTTCATTGATCCTATCCTTTGTTATCTCCACTGTGTTACTGAGCCCATCCAGTGAGATTTTTGTTTCTTTTAGTTAGTTTTGGAAAGAATTATTTCACATAATGGGTATTAGACATCATCCAAAGAAACTGAACTGGATAAAAACAAATCATGTGACAAAGGTTTCTCAGTAGGGTTAACAGATGAAATCCCTTTAATGGTTCATGAAAGAGATGATAATGATGTGCCTTTCTAGGTCTCCATCAAGGAAGGTAAGCATCTACCACCAACCGTCTTGATGTGCTCTCGTTGGAAACCCTGCTTCTGCTCACATTACATGTCTCAATCCAGGTTGTGAAATGATGTTCATATTTAAGTATTACACTAGAACAATGTCAGGACCCTCTGAGATAGTATATCATAGGATAAACTTCATTTCCTAAAATCCCCCTGAATCTTCTTTCCTTTCATTCAATACCCCTGAATCATTATTGATGGAATTAAAATTGAGATTATACTAACATGAATCAGATTTTTAAGAAGCAGCATAGAAGTGACATGAGTTAAGAATCTGTTACTTTCTAGCTGGGTGAAGTAGGCATTCATGTCTCACTCAGACTCAGTTTCCTTCCTGCAGCAATTAGGCATTATAGGAGCTTCCCTGCCTCACTTACAGACAGCAAAGGAGGCAAGGGGTGTGAAAATGTCATGCAAAATGTTATATTCTTATTTTGGAGATGAACACTGGTTTTTGGTAGCTGATAATGCAAGCTGAAATTCTTTTCTCTGCATTCAGAGTACTTAAAAACTTTTCTCACTCCCCCACCTACCCTCCCCTGCAAGAATAGAACAGTACTTACCTTATAAGCTCCACTGTTTCTGAATACATTGTGTAAGGAGACTTGGACTCCATTGGACCCTGTTCCATTGCATTTCCACACTCAATGAATGACAAGGCTGCTTCAGCATAGTTCAATGCCTTTCCAAACTTTTCCACCTGATCAACAGAGTTAACACATTGTCTTCTTTAAGTACAGTTTTTTTTTTTTAAAAGAAACAGCAGTGTCTATACGCTTTATTTGAGAAACCCAACTTTTGAGTTCCAAATTCCTGTGAATGGAGCTGAGAGAGAAAAAAAATGGGATTCTTCCTCTTCTACTATCTTCATAAATTGCCACCGGTTTAGGATAAGTGAATGGTTACAGACAGAACTGTACCAAATTCATATAACAACTGTCAATCAGAATCGCTCAGAACTTCATTGTTGCTTTAATTTCTAGTTTCATCTTTCTAACCCCTAATATCTTGGCAACTTCATTCCTTGCCCCCTCAAGCTATACTAAATATATGGCAAAGTTGGTAGGCCTGATTCCACATAAAAGTTTTCATACTTTTCTTTGTATACTCTGACTTTGATGATTTCTGGCCTTGGTTATTGCCTTTTATATTATCTGTGAAATTTCCATTTCCATGCCTTCCTCCTGTTGTGTATGTGTGTGTTTTCAGTAATTTCTTTGAGAGTTAGGACCTCACTTAAGGGTGAGACTAAGGAGAGAAAAGGAGAAGAGATAAAACTCAAGGCAATATTTCAGTTTAGCTAAAATGGGATACAGAATTGAAATGTGATAAAAAACATGTTTTGGGGTTTATATGAGGTTGTCTAAATTGATGTCAAGCTTTCCCTACAACAGCAAGAATCAGCTTTATATTCTGAGGGTCTCATAAATCTAAATTTACACATAAAGTTCTTCATTTCATACATTGTTACTCTCTGTGGATAATTACCTACTTTAAGTTTGAACTGCATAATCTTTCTGGTTTTCAAATATTTACTCATCAATCAAAACAGGATTATACAAATACTCTAACTACTAATATAAGTCTTGCCTCTAAAAAATTATCGTTCATAATGATACCTTAGAAGACAGAATGCTTAGAGCATAATTCTCCCTCATTAGCAAATCAAATTTTTAAATAGCTTATAACCCCGACAGGCTATTGAGCAATATTTCTTAGCAACACTTTGAGATTAAGGAAGCTATTCATTCATTAAGTATTTTCTTAAGCACCCAATTCTGTACTATGTGCACCTGATGCACACAAGTTCCTTTCAGGGGCATATAAAACATTTAGAGAGAAAAAATCTACATCCACATTTCATAGTACAGTTCATAGACAGTTCATAGTATAAGGCAGTCTGTGACTAACTCAAAATGCCAAGCAAGGAGACTAATGCACATAAGATGGTAGGAAGGGAGCAAGTGATAGGGCTACAGAGGCTGGGAGGCCTAGGGGAAGAGACCTGAAAATGACACTGGGAAGGAAAGGATTTGGGGAGTGTGCTAAAGATGTGAGTGTACCTGAAAGCGAGAATGTGTGAGTATGTGTGAGCTGTGAGTGTGTGAGTGTGAGGTTTTCCAACTGAAAAGTCCTGTTGGCTGGCATGAGCAAGGTGTGCATAAATGCTGGTAGGGGCCAGCCTAGCTGGAGCAGTGCTGGGATAGGCAAGATGACACTGAATGAATAATCCTGAAAATCCTTGGGTGATTTAGGAAGAAATTTTCATTCGGCTCTAAAATTCAATGCTCTCCTCCAATAGTGACCATGCTTCAGCTTCTTCAGGTGACCAGAAGAACCAACCGTTCATCCGACTGTGAGATTGAGGGGGTAAGAATGGTCCCTTATTTCCTAATACTCTCATTATTTCCCTCGTACACTGGTATACCTAGGCAGTGAATTTCATAAAAATAAATATTTGATGAGCAACATCAATAGCATTGGAAGAGGAGTGCTAGTATGGTTTGAACACCTTAGACACTGGAATAATATGATAAAGATAATTCGAAATCCCTTTTTCATCTCCGACTCCCCAATCTCAGTTATAAACGCTGGAGGGGAACAGAATGGCTACTCCCAGCCAGGGAAGAGTCCCCTTGGATAAGACCTCAAGATGTAATAACCCTATGATCTCTTTTAGAAAAAAAAACAGAAATTAAAAAAAATCTAATGCCCGAAAAGCTTCAAGCTTTCCAAAACAGTGGATTATCAAAGTAAAAACGTTATTTTTTGCAAACATCAAATCGTGGTGACTTTGGAGTCTTTTCTGCAGTATAATCATTCCTGTGTTTCACAGTTGCAAAGAAGTATTCATTTTGGCAGATACACATGAAGAACATGAGTCTTTTTGAAAAGGGATTAGATCCTGGGACAAAGACAAGAGTTGGCCAGGCTAACAAGACAAAAATGCAAACCTAGATTTTATTTTAAAGAAAAAAAATACACCACCCACTGACTCCACCGCTTGTAGTTACTGTTCAAACCTTAGGACTGAGTTAAAATATTCGTTTATCCAGGGCTTTCTCCCAGTCAGACATTATTGGTTGAAGCCATAATTTATTGGGCTATGAACACTTGATTGCATAAACATTTTCCCATTTAACAGACCCAGCCACCCTTGTAATAGATTTTATAATTATACCGGCTATATAGCCCCAGTGACGAGGGTGCAGTACAAAAACATAATGTGGAAGAACGAATCTGGAAAGAAGAGAAACTTACCATTGCATCTGCTTTATGCTTCATCCGTTTGGCTTCTTGCATAAAATAATCTGCAGTGCGTGGCCTGCAAGGAGAGGGTGACACCGCATGTCACTGCTGTGGAAGAGCAAGCTTGTGAAAGTACTCCTTCCGTTTACTCACAATTTAAAAACTGTGCTCAGCAGGGAATCAAGTACTTTTTGCATTTCCAAATTACTGCCCATATGTAAAGTATCACAATTATATTTTGCTTAAGTTAGTGATTCAAAACACAGTATATGTCGATCGTCTACATTTACAGTGATTTTAACATGGTTCTCCAGTGCCTAATTTGTGAATCAGATTTTTTTATTGCATGGTTAAGAAGTAAAAAATCTTATTTCACATGATATTTACATAAAACAATCACTTTTAATAACGCTGCAAATATACCTCATAATAATTGTATGGATATGTATGGGTGAGTATATTTATGTACCCTTATGAAAGTCAGTGTCATTTATGTGTTTAATGGTGCCTAGAGTTATATGTATCTATATATAATTATTTTAAAGCTTCACAGTGAGAAGTGGAAAGAGGTAATACTGCATGATTACATTAAGTACAACGAAGGTAATTATAAGACGATGTCTGCCTTGTAACAATGCAAATGTGGCACGGTTCTCCAGAATATTCACAGCAGACCTGTGTGTTATTAAAGCAGTAACCCTGGCCAGCACTGATTCTGATAGATTCAGTGCTGGAAGATGAAGGTAATTCATCTAGAAACTGATCTGAGTGTGTGTAATAACTTCAAGTTACACTAAGGTACTCACCAGGAAGTAAGTACCTTTACATGCTTAATCTGATAGATTAAAAAAAAAAACTGCATACTTTAGGTGATCCTGGCATAAATGTTTTTTATATTATGGGTCTTTATGTAATCAATAAACTTGACCTGTTTATGAATATCCAATATAAGCCAGGCCTCCCTGAAAGGGAGATAAGATGTAAGTAGTGACATTAACCATGGACTCTCTAACCAATTGTCACATGCTTATTTTGAACTACCTTCTTTCAGATTCTAATGGGTCTTTTTTCTTTACTTAGTTATTTAGGTGGTGAGAACATCCTTTTATCTCAGAAGATCAAAATGCTTAGAAAAACTACGAATATAATGTTGCCAATACTACTGCCATCCAAAAGTATTATTCTCACTTTAATGATTTTAATCAATCAATCAATAAATTAAACAAATAAAGAAACTGGGATGACAGCAAATAGTTTCAGGTCACAGGTCACAAATCACTGAAGAAAGACATTGGTTTTCTGTCTCACTTCCCCATAAAAAAACTGTCAGGACTGTGGTACCACGCTGAAAATATTTAACTTCTCTAACAAAGAAATGAGGAACACAGTTAGTTGTAGGAGTTCCTTAATGCGTATAATTAAACTCCCATTGCTGGCTCATTATCCCTCCTTCGCCATTCTTCCTGCCACTCAGGCCTGCGAACTTCCATTCATCTTGCTGCGTCTTCACTGGAGGGTGAGGCCTGCAGTTTCTGTCACTGGAAGTCCCTGTTCCTACCAGCTCTGTTTTCTTTAGTTCATTTCCTAGCCATCACACTTCCTTCATCTGAATGGAAGTATGGCATTTTCATGGTGGTTTTCCTTCTCTGTCCCCATATTGACCTCTGATCACACACTGACTATCTGTTTGGTCTTTGACTCCTACTCTGGTAGTCTACCTCATTTTTGTTGGTGGTGGCTTTTAATGGACCTACTTTATATTTTTGGAGCCACTTTAGGCTGATGGGAAGCTGAAAATACTGAGGCTTCCAGACATCTCCTGCCTCACATGCTCACAGACTCCCTTCACTATTAACACCCCCAGCACAGTGGTACCTTTGTTACCCTCAGTGAACCTATACTGATGCATCATTATCACCCAAAGTCCACAGCTTACATTAGGTTCACTCTTGGTGTTGTATATCCTATGGGTTTTGACAAATGTATCATGATATTTGTCCACCATTATAGTATCATACAGAGTAACTGCACTGCTGGACAATATGGGTGATGCCCGAAATATTCTCTGCACTATTTTTTGGTTTCCTTTTGCTTCATGCCCCCAAATGGAAGATCAGACCCCACCTCTAGCCCAAACCCATGCTCCTCCAATCTACCCCAGACCTTAACCCTTGAATAACATTTGTAAAATATGGCTTTCATTAGATCGCCACCCTACTCACAGACCTGAAATCAATCTCCAGGGCCCATGACCCCTCAGTTCAGGCCTCCAGTAATCTAACCCGACTGTCACTCACCAAGGCCCTCCACCACAGGGGTTGTATCCTCACTGTCTTAACATGTCATCCCTGGCTTAGGAGGTCTGCTCACTCTCCTTCTCCTTCCTGGAATACTTTCCTCTCTGCTCATTCACTATGAGCCTACTATGAGCCAAATGTCACCTCCCCCTCAAATTTTACCACCATGAGGCCTTCTTGGTAACTTTGGTCCACACTCATGTCTTTCTTTCCAAATCTGAGAAACCGCCTCTTGTTTGCACTACACTCTGGGCATTTAATTATCTTCTGGGCTGTACAGGGCTCAGTCACTACATACGTACAACTTTGCAGCTGGTATCTTCTCAGCAGAGGCATGCTGCAGGCCTCTTTGCTCTTTCCTACCCTGTAGTTTTAGGCACATGGGAGAAGGTAAACGAATCCCCCTTGAATAGCACTGAATTCATTTTCAGCTGAGAAGAGAGTGGGGGCTTCTGATGGCAGCAACATAGCCAATGAGCCAGAGAACGTCTCCATGGCAACCTGAAATTCTCTGCATCATTATCTGCTCTACACTCTTCTATATGAGGTTGGTCATTTTTTTTCTTGCCCTGTTTGGTAGGTCTTGTTGCTAACAGATCATCATTTTAAATGCATTTCATTTTCATAAAAGGATTCTCTTGATATTAAGCTATGACATCTTAGTTTTCACGAGCTTTCTAAGTTACTCTTATGGATAGCAGTGGCTCCTAATTCCTATATGGGGTCCTCAATCAACGCTGCTTTTACCTGCAGCACACGAATGTATTTTTAAACCTGATATGGAGGCTGAGTTACCAACTCTCACAATAGTGCATGTGGATAAGTAACACATCTAATTTTCTGACTGTATCACAGCCACTACAACAGTAACCTGAGATGCTGAAAAAAAGGCATCATCCAGAGGCCATTTATAACATATTAGTTGGAATTCTCATCTTTGCATATAACAGAGAGCTCATTACACTGATTCACTGAAGATTGCCTGACGATTAGCCCATTTTCTCCTTTTAGGTGATTTCTAGTGTTACATTCCCACACCAGGTCATTATAAAGGTGATATAATATAATATAATATAATATAATATAATATAATATAATATAATATAATATAATATAATATAAAGGGGACCAATGGGACGTCACCCAATTGTCCTGTGGTGCAGTGGATGCATGATCTCATGAAGGCATCACTTCAACTGCAACATCCAAGCCCGGAGGAAAATAAAATTGTTGTCACTGTTGTGGCAGTTATAAAATAGAACCCAGCAAAGGTACTAAAGTGAAATCTGATTACCTCGGCTTCAAACAGATTTGTTATCTAATCCATTTTGTTTACACCAAAACCCTATAATTTTTGCTTCTTGTTTAGATAATAACATTCTTTACATTGTTTCTTGTGATGGCGTTTTGTGAGGATACATGAGCAAACCTGGTTAAAGTTCAATTAAACATCATACACGTAATTGCATATCTGGGGCTCTTCAGATCACAAATAGGGCTTGTGTGACCTAAAGAGGCGAAACTCAGCCGCATGTACCTTTGTTATAAGAGCTCTCAGCAGCAAAAACAGCCTGAGCACTTGATCCAAAGAGAATGTTTTCTTTTTTCTTTTCTTCTCCTTATCCTCCCACCAACCCACCTACAAACACACAACCTTGGTTCTGAGCAGCAACTGGGGTTGAGCCACCCTGATCTTTTTTCTGGGGAGGAGGGTTACAGCAACCTTGCTCTCTGTTCTCCTTGGTGGTGAGATCCAGCGGAACGTGCATTCCCATGGAGAGGCTGGCAGAGTCCTTCCTGTAATTCCTACCTCTGGAAAACAATGCCCCAGAAGGACCAGCCTGTTCAGTAAAAACTGGGGGGAGTGAGAGCTCAATGTGTTTGAACAAACAGGTTCCTTGGCACAGCAGAAATCTGAATAATTTTCTTAGGGAAGTTGAAATCCAAATCAGAGAAGTAGGCAACTGCAGACCAAATCAATTCAACATCTGACATCCTATCAGCTTGTCATTTGATAAGCCCCAGAGATGTCACAGTGTCCCAAGCTTTGGGGCACTTTCTTTACAAAGAGGAATGTGTAAGAAGTTGGCACATGGGAGAGGAGTTGGGGGCTGGGTGGAAAAGGTGAAAGGATTACAAGAACAAACTGGCTGTTACGAAACAGTCACATGATATAAAGTACGGTGTGGGGAAGATAATCAATAACATTGTAATAACTATGGTGCCAGATGGGTACTTAAATTATCACAGGGATTACTTTGTAAATTATATACGTGTCTAACCACTATGCTGCACAACTGAAACTAACGCCGAATGCCAGTTCTAACTGAAAAAATTAAGTAATTATAGTATTTTGATGCACCAAGTAAGTGACACTATTGATGAGGGCAGTTCAGAGTCAGCAACTCCAGGTGTGGTGCTGGCTCTATGGGTCCTTCCTGAAGGACACAGGTGAACTGCATTTAAGAAGCAAGGATTTAGATGCAGCATTTGTTTCTATAACCTTGGTGTTGGCTGGGACCCCAGAGTCCCTGGAACCCGGCTTCTCAGAAGCGCCAGTGATTATTCACTGCGTCTCTCACAGCAGCAGGCTCTTGCAGACAACGGCTTCTCCTGGCCACGGAAAGAAAACAGCGTGTGCTTTCCAGGATGCACAGGCGAGTGCAGCAGGGCTTTCATTTCATCAAAAGCAACTCTCTGGTGAAGTGGAAACTTATCAGTTCTATTGTTGCTGTAGTCTGGGTGTGACATTTAAAATAAAGTAATTTTACAAAACCCT